TGTGTGTGTGTGTGTGTGTGTCTGTATAACGCATAACTCATGAACCGATACACAGAAAAACACCAAATTTTAAACTTAAGCTTTGTTTCAGCGTCTAATGAGCTGATTAGATTTTGGGCAGAGTCGGAACATGTGGGGGGGTACTTTATAGGTGGTCATTTTTATATTTTATGGAATATATCTGTTATTTACGTTTGGAGAAGAAAATTCTTTAAATAAAAGTTACTTCTAATATAATTATCTATAATTTTTGTTTTATTCAAAATTTTCCTAAAATGGTCCGTATTCGAGAAATTTGACAAAATGTAAAAAAAATATTTTTTTATAAAAATTGTTCAAATAAAAGTTGTTTGTAATATAATTCTCTATAATTTTTGTCCTATACATAATTTCTCTAAAATGGACCGTATTCGAGATATTTGAGAAAATGTGTAAATTTCGAAATTTGAAGAAAACTCAAAAACGGATAAAGGAAAAAACATTAAATTTTAAAATTAAGGTTTATTTCGGCCTGACGTGAAATGATTAGGTTTTGGACAAAGTCGGAACATCTGGAGGGTACTTTATGGGAGGCCCTTTTTATATTTTATAGAATATATCTGTTATTTATGTTTGGAGAAGAAAATTGTTCAAATAAAAGTTACTTCTAATATTAATATCTATAATTTTTGCCTTGTGTAAAAATTTCCTGAAATGGTCCGTATTCGAAAAATTAGACAAAATGTGCAAAATTCTGATTTTTATGAAAATTGTTGAAATAAAAGTTGTTTGCGATATCGATCTCTATAATATTTGTTCATACATGATTTTTTTAAAATGGACCGTAATGGAAAAATTGTAGGAAAAGTGCTAAATTTAAATTTTTCAGTATTTTCATTTTCAATGAATATCTATAGAAAAATGTTTCGCGGTAGATGTATGTGGACAATGTATATATTTAGTTTATCCTCTAAACATTTATAGAGATGCTGCAATAGGTTGTACAAAATAACCGGAAAAAGCCTGTAATAACTAGATAGGAAAGTCATGTGTTGGACACATCAGATTTTTTACTCAATAATTATTACTCAACCATATCATTAGTTATACGAATTTACCTTTATTAATTTCTGTTATTGCTCCGGCTATTACTCTTATTATCTCATGGATCTTGGATTCTGGCGCTATTCCTTGTTAATATGAAATTATTTTTCATGTTAAGTTACCTTTCTCGATTAGAGTATTATTTTCCCAATTAATCAATAAAATATTCCTTTTACAAAAATATTAGTTTCATTTTATTTATAAACCAAATCATTTCAACATTTAGATATAAATGGGAACAAAAAAATTATTCATAATTAATTTTGTGGATAGAAAATGGCGGACACGCCATCTATTGGAGGATATTACAGTATGCTGTGCTCTGGAGATGAATCACTTTACTTAAGTAAAATTAAAACTAACTTTCTGTAATTACCCTGCTTAAAATATTTGTAAAGAGCTCTATACCATCTAACCTAAATTTAAAAAAATTATTTACACCAATGCAGAATGCAGAACGTAACAAAATGTTTATTGTGTTTAAAAACCGAAAGTCAATTAATAAACTGTTCAAAAAAACTTTTAAAAGTAAGTAGATTGCAGTATCGTTTTTAATCAACGTGTTTAAACTATTTTACTCACTAAACATCAGTTCTTTCCTAGTTAAAGTTATTTTGATTCCAGGAATTGGAAATATACTCCCTCTCAACATGGACGAAATGGCTGATTCCCACAGAATCGTCTGTCTGCTCGGTGACCGGAGTTCAATACACGATTTGCTCTTTCTAGTTAACGGTAGGTAATTTTTTACTCACCCAGGATGTACATAATAAAATTTGAAAGAATATTTTATTATTTTTAGGTTGTAACTGCTTAAATTATATCAAGAATTCCAATTTTAATTTCAAAAAAAAATCTCTAACGTTTGTCAAAAACTCCATCTCAAAATCAACAACCCCTTAGTTCCCTTTGGATACCAATCATCAAAAAAAAAGAAAAAAGTAAAGGTAGGTTCGTATATTTTTTTTTTATGTTATTGAGATACTTTTTGTGGTCATTGCAATGTGATTTTTTTTTAATTATGTTTACTTTTTAGTGATATTTTTTAAATTGAACCTTTATTGTTTAATCGTTATTTAATATTTTTTTTTATCACTTATGATAGCTAATGTTTCTTTTTACTTACAAAGTTACTGTACTAATTGTCACAGTGTACAGTTCGTCCCAAATTAGAATTTACTTTTGTTATTTCATTTCAATATATATACATAAAATATACTGATTTATACATAATAAACAAATATTTCAACATTGGTCTTTGTTTATGGTACAATTTTAACCAAATTTTAAGGAGTGATAAAGCTTTCGCATGCTTAATTTTCACAGTAATTGAGCCTAAAATATTATTATTTTAAAAGTAATTAATAAATAATTTTTTTTGGTGGGTGCGCCCTGGTTATGGACCCAAGTAACATTTTTAGTTTTATCAAAGTATACAAGATAACCTAGGGATGCGCAAATTTTTTAAAACATCGCTATTGACATCAAATGATACATGTCTTCCAAAAGCGTTCATTAAAGAGCAAAAAAAAAAGGAATTCAAACCATCAAATGAAACGTGACGCTTAACCAAAAACCAAAAAAACATTGGAAAGAAAATCATCGATGTTAATTTTTAACAAATAACATCGGATAAAAATAACTCGATGTTAACTAATAACATAGGATTAAAAAACATCGATGTTGAACATCGATAATCGAAACCTAAAAATCGATGTTTTTTAAACATCGAAACATGGTGCGCATCCCTAAAATAACCAAAAAACCATTTTTTAAGACACTGATAAAACTTTTGAATCCGCGAGATAGCCTTAAGGCTGCTATAAATCTGCTTTAAGAGTAAAAGGGAGAATCCTATAACGGTTCTTAGGAGTATTTTTAGACCTAAGTTAAAGTCCGTAAGAGTATATTGGGAATTTTATTAAACCATTTTTAAATCTTTTTTAAGATTATGATAATAAGTGGGATAGGCATAAAAAATTTACAAATCTAATCAGTTTTAAGAGAATTAAATTTTAAACTGTTTTAGCTTTATTCAGTTTTATCATACTCTCTGACACAACGATTTTGCAAGCATGTTGGCAAGACTGCCATATTAGAAGTTAATTATTATATAGTGTATGTTTAATTTGTTTGGTTACACTTGTTATTTCTTCAATTTTCAAACACACACCAAAGTACTGTTAAAAGTGGACAAGGTGAGTCGTAATAAATAATGGGCCTCACAATATATAAAATATATATGAAAAAAGGATTAATATACGAATTCTAATCTATTTACCGAAGGTTATTTAATAGAAAATAACATTGTAAATATCGTATATATTAAAGCTTTATAAGCATTTTATTTACATTAAAAAGATAATTGTTAAATTAATTTAATTTGAAATAAATAGTTTATTAATAATTATAATAAAGTAGCACTATAAAATGATTACATTTGTCTTCGATATGTTTTTGATATAAAATATCCCATTTACATTAAAGGAGGCTAGAGTTGTATAACATTATATTATAGCTAGGGTTACGTATTTTTCGCAACTAAAAAACCAAAATTTCGCATAAATATAAATTAATAATCCAAAATTTCGCATTTATTCGCATAAAAAAACGAGAAATATTTAAACTCGTATTTATTACCATAATAATTAAAATAACAAAATATATATTACAGAAAAATCAGTTGTCTTTATATATTCTTGCTTAAGCCTTTGCCTTCGGTCATTCATGACGACATTGTAAATACTGAAATATCTTCCAGCATCTACACTGTTGACTGGGCTATGAAGACTTTGCATAGCTGCATTTGCGAACCTCAAGTAAAATCTGCATGGCCTTAACAGGAGTTTCTTGCTAAACCACATTAACGAGTTGTCTATGGAAATGGGAATATTCACTTCCTGTGGTACATTTTTGAAAACTGTTATTCTGGAGAAGTTCTCCAGTGTTGAGTTAGTGTCCAGAGACGATGTGGTCACGGCCGCTGCTACTAATGGGCAATGTGCAGGTAAGAATAGTTTGTTGGGTTAGACCTCATATGTGAAGACAATTTATCCAAGCTCTTCTGTGCTGCTGTCTTTAGCACAATACTGTGCTCTTCTTGGAATTCACCATTTTCGTTTAACAAAATGGTTTTAGTTTTTCTCTAAACGAACCTTCACGTTATCGCTCAAATGAAAACTTTAAATCTTCTAATTTGCTCCATAAAATGTTCTCGAATGGATATTTTGATCTTTCCAAGTTGTCAATTATTTTCATTATTTTTGGACAGAACTCGGATACGAATGTCAACTGAACTCATATTTTGCGAGCCAGAGTTTTATTTTAAAAACATTCCATCAGGTAACTAGTACTCATGTTATTGTCTTCATAGTCATTCATAAAAATAATAATATGCTCCACATATTTGCTCAAATAGACTGCAGATTTGAACAAAGAATTCCACCTAATTACAACTGGCGTCGGGTAAAGTTTTGGAGTCAATCACGGAGCGTGTTCTTGCAAGTAGTTCAAACAAGTACTTTTCATTTGTCTAAAGTGCAAAATGCTGCCCTCGTCTCGGCTACAATCGTATTCAGTTCTTTAAACTCTTTTATAAAGATGTCATCTACAAAATTCACTTTATGTGCACAATATTGGTAGTGTAAAATATGGTCACCAATCAGTATTTTTAGTATGTTAAAATATACAGTCATGTAACGTATCGAGTCTGATACTAATCCTTACATTTAAGAGTAGTCGATGTCGTAAGCTTTCAAGGTGTCCATGATGGCTTGTAAGTGCAAGTGAAACCATTGGCCGCGTCTAAAAATATACATTTGCTAAAAAGCAAGACTGCTCTAGTTCTGCATTCACAGTTTTAAATAATACTGCAAGAACACATCTTCCTTGTTTTTCGAATGTTTCGTCGGCCACTACTACGGGATGATTTTTAAGTTACTTCTTAATTTCTTTTTTCTCAACAATGGTGTACAGTGGACGTGTTTACGTCTCAAAATATCGCCAGAAGAGAGATTATTTGAACCGGGCACAGCGTGGTCCAGTTTATGCATGGGAATGTTAGCTTTCAAACACATTTTTACGGTATCTTCTACAAAAGTTTCTTTTTCCATTTTAACACGCTTTTGCACTTCAAACCCGCCGACAATTGTAGACTGCCTTTTCGTTCCAGAGGGCCCTGGTTGAGGCTTGGTTTTCTTTTTCAAATGTTTCTTCAATGTATCTGTTTTATCCGCATTTAGACGCACGTTGCGATATTTGCACATAACTATGTTATTATCACTTAGATACAACCCATCTTGATGATATAAACGCAGACGGTACGCGTTCGCGATGTGCGTGAGGCTTGTAATTTTAGAAAATTCACGTGTTTATTGCCTTTAAAAATGTTTTTCTTCGAAATTTCGTCGAAAAAGTATTAAATACACAAAATATTATATTTCGTATTTATTGCCCAAATTACGTGAATTTCGCATATATCGCTTCTATTTCGTAAAAACGAAAATTACGTATATAATATAAGTTACATTTATATACTCTAAAAGGTATTAGCTCTGGATATATTTGACAAATATGACATTATGTGGTTAAACGCAGTAAACGCATTCATAAATATTAAAGCCATATTCGAGCGGTCTCTTTGATTTAAAAATATTTTCAACAACTTTTAGAACCAGTTTTATTACTACCTCATAGATTTTGAAAGCGCTCAAATAGATGATTTTAAAACTCATATTACCAGAGTTTTATGAAAAATAGATCATTATATTTAGAATTCGACTTTAACCAGTTATTTAGAATTACAAGGTCAAGTTTTCAAAAATTACTAAAAATTATAAACCTTAAAAATTATGCGTTTTCTATTTTTTCTTATAACCTTAATACAGAAAATCTTTTTTGATAATTAATTTTAATGCATGCTCTTCGCTACAATTTTTGACATTAATGACATTTCTATTTCCTTGAACCGTTCTCAATGAAACGTTTCAAAAACAGATGTAGCTGGTTTAAACCTATTTCAACATGACGTCATTGTTTGGTCACTCGAATGGGAATAATTCAAACGGTTTTCGAACCGCATGAAATATATTTAAACCAGTAGACCGCTCGAATATGGCTTAAATCTACTGTCATTGGTACGCTGTTGTCATTGACACACTATCACTGTCTTTGGTACATAAAATACTTCATTACTAAAATCAAAAGATTTTAGAATTATTTGAACTTTGACCATAATTTATTTTAATATTCAAAAGTAAGTTATTTGAATATCCATTAGGTACAGGTTTAGTAGACATGTACTATTTTACATGATATGTGGTTAAACAGCCACTGCCATATTTAAAATAGAGGATTTCCATATAGTGTTCTATCTGAACCTAAAAACGGACATTAGCTTATAAAACTAATGAAGCAAAAAGAATACTTTTTAGGACTTGCCAGTTTTAAAAAGCTCCTGCTACACTTTTTAAAGCGTTTCATAAAACAATAGTAAAAACGAAAACCTCAATAAAACATTCATAAGTTCAATCAGACGGGTCCGGCATAACCTAACCTCACTCTTGAACTTTCTATTTACTCTACGAACAAGTCATTCAAAATATAAAAATTAGTAATAATATATTAACCATTTTTCTCTTTCACTGATCGTTTCCAGAATATTAGGAGCCGCGGAAGGTTTCTTTGATATTTGTTAAACAATGGCACAAAATGAATTTATTAAACACTGAGAAGAAGGAGAAACATATAGATACATTTTTTTTCATTTTCTATGGAAATTACCACTTTTCTTTATTTTGAGCAATTTATCTTTCAACGTCAACATAATATGATTGGGTTGAAAAGCTAGGTTATGTTCTAAAACAAAACTAATTTCTTATTAAAACTATGTAGTTTTAAAAGAGCCCTAGATTAAATAAATTATAAGAGTTATTTTGTAAAATGGTAGAAAATGTACCTAAAAGGTTCTGGGATCAATTTAATTTAAAGTATAATCCTGAAACACTTTTTAAAACCTAATTAAGGTGATTACAGCACCCCGTTATAATTTTTGGATAAGGATATCTCAAAAAGTAATTTTTTCAAAATTTTAATTTTAGCAGAATAAATTAGGCAGTAATATCTAGAATATTCATATATTTTAAAGTTTTAATTTCTTCCAGTTTCCGAGAAAAAAAAATCAGAGGGCTTTAAATTTTGACATATCATCATGAAAATAAATGCATTCCTCAACAGCACTATTCTTAATATAATCCATGGATTTAAGCTCTTAATGTCTTGTTAATAATTTTTTAAAATTAGTGGCTAAAACGCCTCGTTAAGTGCTATCTTTTAGTGTAAACTGGTCTAAACTGGTGTAAACTGGTGAAAATTGGTGTAAATTGGTGTAAACTGGTGTAAACTGGTGTAAACTGGTGTAAACTGGTGTAAACTGGTGTAAACTGGTGTAAACTGGTGTAAACTGGTGTAAACTGGTGTAAACTGGTGTAAACTGGTGTAAACTGGTGTAAACTGGTGTAAATCATTTCAGGAAACGAATGATGACTGAAAATGTATGATACGATAGTTACAGTAGCGTTACAACAAAAGGCAGCACTTAACGAGGCGCTTTAGCCACTAACTTTGGCGAATTTTAAAAAATCATTTACAAGACATTAAGAGATCAAATTTCGGAATTATATTAAGAATAGTGCTGTTGAAGAATGCATTTATTTTTATAATGATATTTAAAAATTTAAAGCCCTTTGATTTTTTTCTCGGAAATTGGAAGGAATTAAAACTTTCAAATATATTCATATTCTAGCTATTATTGCCCAATATATTTTGCCACAATTTTAATTTAAAAAAAAATGACGTTTTGAGATATCCCTGTCCGAAAATTATAAGGGGGTGCTTAAGATAACTGCTAAAAAGTATACCTCTTTAACACCAAACACACCTTAGGAGTATCTTCAAACTAAACAGTTCTAAAATTACTTATTAATTAACAATTACAGGACAGAGATAAAGCATAGTTCACTTAAGCATAAAATAGTTTTCTTAAACAGATTTAAAGGAATCTATAAAACCAAGTGATAAGATCAATTTAGCCTGCAGTCCTATTGGCAAAAAAATAACTGTAATAAAATAATTATTAATTTTTATGCTTTTACAAAACCCTAATAAAACATAAATAAAACTTGTTTCTCCTAAAAATGTTACTTGGGGACTCTTCAATAAATTTTGAATTTGAAATAAAATTTTTGACTCTGTTTACGACGGACTCTACATATTTATTTATTTTTTCTTTAAATTTTTCTCAAATTTATAATTTAACCGGATATTGCACCAAATATTTCAATTATTCTATTGCAATGAAATGTTAGTGAATAACTTTCAATCCAATCTTTGAATTAAAAAACTGTCTAGCCAGACGAATCCAGCAAAAAATAATCAGCAATAATTGTGGCATAGCCACAAAAGTGAAGTAAAGACTCAGGTGGTCATGGAAAGTTAATTGCAGAACGTCAATCTGCTCGGCTCCGTTGTTGATTATCTGTGAAAGGAAACGGAAGAGTAAATCTAGGAAAAGCTGTCAGCTGACAAAAGCTGAGAACTGCTGAAATAAAGCTTTCATTTATTGTGTTTCGAGGAATGAATTCCTATTTGTTGGTAAAGTAATATAGAAAGGCTGTGCTGTATCCACATATAATAAACATTTACAAATGTTCTCATGGTATAATTTTGTTTCAGTATGATATACACTCAATAATTTCTAAATATACTACGAACGGAACATAATAATTTAAAAAAAAAGTTAAAGCTAAAAATTATAGTTAAAATATTTTTTTTAAATTCTAATAGATGGAGGAAACAAATAGCTTTTAAACGAGTCAGATGGAAACTATACGTTTTAAATTTGAGATTTTGAAAATCAGAAAAGTAAACTGAAAGCAGACTTGAAATTAAATTAAATCGTAGAAGGTATCATATGTGGCCATCTTCATAAAAGATACACTGAAAATCTGTGCCACAAAATTTATTAATTTTAACACAATAAAAGGTGATTAATTAATGTCAGTAAAAAAAAAGAAAATAAAAATTTATTTAGAAGAAGAAATTTAGTAATTTAGAGATGGGCAGTAGCAAAAAATTCGTAACTTTATGTACATTTACAAATTTAGGGCCACAAGGCAGGACCTCGTAAGTCGAAACATTGACATTATTCAGGAGATAAAAAACGTTTTACAAGTGTAAAAAACAATCCATTTTACTCCATAAAGGCTGTATGTTACGATGCTTGATTAAGTACTAAATTTAGAACTAAATTAATGCATTTTTTAAGTACTAAAAAAATTCACGTTGCAAATACCAAATTTAGTACTAAATTTAGTACTAAAAAAATTAATTAATTAATTAGAACTTGTTCTATTTTCTATTAAATTTAGGTCTGAAAGTGCGTCGAAATGTTGTGTAGAAGTTTTTCATCGAAAAAGTTGACACAGCGGTATTTTCTGTACCATTTTGTTTTTGGTTAGCGACAATATTGCATTAATAAAGTTTGCTTATTTGATTTTGTAGGTTTTATTGTGTTTTTTCGTGGTTTTTAGTAGCATTGCTGTATTTGGTTGTTGTCAAGTAAACTAGTGTCAAATTGATAATAAAAACATTATTTACTTCACTTGTCTATTTTACACAGAATATTTCATATCCTGTGCTAATTTCATGTATTAATACGTCAATGCGCATGCGCCTATAGTTAATTTAGTACTAAAAATTGGTATCGTTGCAAACGGAAAAAATATTTTTAGTTCTAAATTTAGTACTAAATTAATAACTTAATTTAGTATCGTGACATATAGCCTTAATAGGACTAATATTTACCCATGTTTTGTTCAAAAATTTAAATACTTCCCCTATACAGTAGATGAAGCGAAATGTTTTAAACGAGATTGTCATATAATATAATTTACAGTGGAAATGTTAGTTACGAGGCCCTCGAAATTTGTTACTACCCGTCTCTAAAGTCACTTCGATTTTCTTTCAAGCACGACTCAGCTGAGTCGGACTTACTTGAGATCTGTTTATAAATACGGGTCTCAGGCCATATTTATCATAAATTCGGCAGAAACGTAATATTTGGATAAAATATGAATGCCAAGTTTGCGATGTTTTTAACTGTGGTTTTTTTCTTGCAATACTAGTAAGTCTTTAAATTATCAAAAAAAATTACGTCTGGCAACAGCGTAACTAGATTTGAGCGTTATTGTAGTATTTGTAAGTAGGG